TTTGGACTAGTGTACTTGATATGTGGCACAAGTATACCTCAATCTATAGTTGTTTGGACTAGTGTACTTGATATATGGCACAAGTATACCTCAATCTATAGTTGTTTGGACTAGTGTACTTGATATGTGGCACAAGTTTACCTCAATCTATAGTTGTTTGGACTAGTGTACTTGATATGTGGCACAAGTATACCTCAATCTATAGTTGTTTGGACTACTGCACTTGATATGTGGCACAAGTTTACCTCAATCTATAGTTTTTGGACTAGTGTACTTGATATATTGCACAAGTATACCTCAATCTATAGTTGTTTGGACTAGTGTACTTGATATATGGCACAAGTATACCTCAATCTATAGTTGTTTGGACTACTGTACTTGATATGTGGCACAAGTTTACCTCAATCTATAGTTGTTTGGACTAGTGTACTTGATATGTGGCACAAGTATACCTCAATCTATAGTTGTTTGGACTACTGCACTTGATATGTGGCACAAGTATACCCGAATCTATAGTTGTTTGGACTACTATACTTGAAATGTGGCACAAGTATACCTCAATCTATAGTTGTTTGAACTAGTGTACTTGATATGTGGCACAAGTTTACTTCAATATATAGTTGCTTGGACTACTGTACTTGATATGTGGCACAAATATACCTCAATCTATAGTTGTTTTGACTAGTGTACTTGATAGAGGTGTCATGGTCCAAAAGAATTTTGGTACGGTACGGAACGGTACAAATGGTCTCGGGACACGGTACTTTTGGGATGGGACGGGACAGAACATTAAAAATGATGCAATGTCTGATGATGACAGTTTCACTTTTCAAAATCATATTCAGAAATAAAAAACATCAATTAAAATCGAGTATAAAGCATCTGCCGCGAATGTGATCGGCATTTCACATAGTCTGCACAGTGTACTATCACCAATTCGTTTACCTTGTGATATCGGAGCAGTGATCTCCCCATGTCACTTTTACCGGGGGCTCCCCCCACTTGAAACCAAAGGCCCCCCAGTTGGCACCTAGTTGGAATCTGCACTTCAACTTCTGATTTGAAAAATGAGTGAAGTAAGCACCTACACTGAGATATTGTGAGCGTAGTGAGTGTTGATTTTTTCAGACTTGAAATCTTGCACCCAGTTGAAAAATTTTTTTTGGGGAGAACACTGCGGAGTCCCAAAATACTTCCAAACCGCCAACCACTCTAACTCAATATTCAGTTGTTTGGACTAGTGTACTTGATATGTGGCAAAAGTATACCTCAATATATAGTTGCTTGGACTAGTGTACTTGATATGTGGCACAAGTATATCTCAATCCATAGTTGTTTATACAAGTTACCACCAGGGACTATAAGCTTATAATTGTGTTACACAAGATGCAACCAGATCAATCATGCTTCAGATAATTTAGATTAGTCTATAGGCAAATTTATTTATACCCCTTAGTACTCTGAATTTGCATTACCTTTGTTCATTTTAAGACCATACTTCATAAGATTTATATAAGAAGGATATCTATAAATGACTCACTTATTTGAGAATGGGTTGATTATATAATCCAACACATATTCATGTGATCAAATATGTGTTTAATAGACCAGTTCTCCACTGTCTGTTGAGGAGGTAAATATTGTCTGCAAATATATTTGCTATATGGATCATGCCATATTTTCACCATGGATAAAATTATTGCAAGAAAGTACATGTACACGGACAGTTTTAACATTACATAACCAATTTTGAATTTTCCTCTTTATACTGTGTTGTTTCACAAAAATACCTCATACAAATAATGAATTCTTTTCACCTTAGCCATTGATCTGACCCCCTGTCTTAACAAGTCTAAACATTTTGTTGCATTTGTTTTGTTTAAAATACTGTCATGATGTCAAATTTGGGTGAATCATATAAGTGATAATACTCGCCAAATAATAATTTGGCTTGTGTATTAATTTATACTACACAACATAAACTTTTGATAAAAGTATGTAAATGTGATGAAGCAAAATTTAAGAATCATAAAAGTTTTTTTTTACCCTAACATTCTAGAATTGCATGGTTAAATTATTGCATTACATGATTTGTATTCCCCAAACTAGAATGATCACAAATGATAATGAACCAACTGAAATCATATTTGATGGCAAATTATTCCAAAGCAAAAAATAAGTCAATGAAGGAGATCTTTGCATGGCAGTGGCATCTCTGAACCTTGGGAAATCTCTTCCTCAATTGAATGATGAATATTGCATTGTGTACTCATAGAACAGACTTGTGCCTCAGCTTGTTGCAGCTTTTGCCTCTTAAATGGGAATGAATTATTTATTTTCTAACATATATATAAAAATTTATATATGTCATGCTTCTATTTAGGTTTGCTGATTCTAATTTTGTCAATTTTATTAAGCAGAATATCTTGACATTTCATTCCTGGGATTTATTGATTCTTTTATGGTAAACACCATACCCTTGCAAATATTCTCTCATATTTTTTATTACATTCCCAATGTTGAAAGAACATATTGGATTTCTTTTCCCTTGTGGTGCCAACACTTACATAATCATTTTATTACAATATTGACAAAATGCACTTTAGATATAGCTTTGTTTTTATTTTATTCATATTACTACATGCCTTTGTTCCATCAGAAGATAAGCTTGACTTCATCTTATTTGGGAGAGACTCCATGGTCAATACCTGCACTCCTCCAATAGTTGTAGAAAGATACATTAAGACAAATATAGTGCTGCCTTAAGCTTAAATACTTAAAGATGGCCTACTTTTCCCCCAAAACTGGATTTTTATCAAAGAATATGAAAACATTTCAGACTTGCCTTTTCATTATTAATTTCATACAAAAATATGTCAGTTTGTTCCTTTAGACATTGGACATTGATTATTGAAATTGGGAAAGTCTTAAAGGCTCCAGGTAAAGTTTGAGAACATGTTTTTGTCAATTATATCCTTCATGATTATTAGAAATTTTGTTTGCATATCAATATCCAACCTATTTTTTATATTCATAGTTGATCTTTTAATTCATCTAATATTTGAAAATATATTTTAAAGCACATTTTTCAACACCATTTGAACGTTGGAATGCTAGTCACATTATTACAACAATAATTTAATGTGTATCTTAATATTTTAGCGCGTATATTTTAAAACTTTACAAGCCAAACACAGGGCTTTTAAAGTCTCGGTTTGGAGAACAGTCTCCTGGGTTAATATTTTTTATGAAAAATATAGAAATATTACCTAAATTAAATTATGAATATTCAAAAGAGGACATTTAGATCTACAAATCTACATAAAAATATCAAAATTGTCAAAAGCAGAGAGAACGTGCAGTAGACTGATGAACTTCGATCTCTAAACCGAGACTAGTCTTTTAACTTCATTTGCAAGTAACAATTTTTGTTCATTTATGGGCAGTGAAGATTTAGTCAAAAAAATGAAAAAGATATCCCACTCCAGCAAAACTACGCAGTCGATTTCCATCTGTTTACTACAAATGTTAGAGGGTACCATTAATTATATAGTGCATTAACTTTTGGGTGGCCATCTTGTTTTCTGACATTTTACAGGGGGGGGGGATTTCCCAAAGATCACCTTTCATATTGGGACGTTCGATCACCAATTTTATAGACAGGCCTCATTTGCCATTAAAATGGATCTCTCAATGTTTGCTTGTGCTTTATGAGTATTCACTGAAAGTTTGGATCAAGTAACTTCAATAGTATTACTGTAGTTTTGAAATGATGATGTTGAACTGATGTTAAACTGCAATAAACGCCATTTTGACGATTTCAAATTTTACTTTAAGCATGCGCGGCACTGAGAAAGCACGTGCTCATGATTGTTCACGTGATCACATCCTGCAATTTGATTGGACATCGTATAATGGGGAATCCCCGAACACGATAGATATAGAAAGAAATAGAAAAAGATATGAAAGAATTATGGGAGCTACTCACTTCTTCTGGCTATTTTAGAAGCTTTTTCATAAATTTTGTCATCACAATTTCAGGAAAAAATATGCATTAGAATAGATTCTCTTCAAAGATATCATCATATTTAATGCATACTTTGTTGTTTGACTATTTGTAATATTACGTACAGCTCTTTTTTAATGCAGTAATGTAAAACATCTTTCCCAGGTGCAAGCCATACCATCCAAGTAGTGTGTTAATTGGCCATTTTCTACACTATTTCATGTTTCTGTTAACATGTGTATCATTTGTTTTCATCGAAGCCTATTGGAAGCTTCAAAGCTTTGATGTAATAATCAGGAAGGTGGAAATTTGGCGCCCTTCATATTGCATGAAACTCAATTATGATGAACTGAAATTGTCTGTCAGCAAGTGCTATAAATAACCTGATTCATGCCTATTCCATAGGATTTCTCTCTAAGATTTGAATATGAACAAAATGTCTGTGATGAATTATTGCATTTGTATAGAATTGAGAATATTGAACACATGTGCCTGTTAACTTATCTGTATGACTTAACTCTATCATGGCATTGTAGCTTCCAAGGGCATGGAAATAGCCATAACATTAAGCTACATCTACCCTTTATATAAGTATCTATCTAAAAAATAGCTACTTTTACATATACCCTCACAATGATGTACTGACCTAGAATCAATCTTAAGTGAGAATTGATTTGCTGGGTTCTCATTAATGGCATCCCATATCGTGAAATACATAATTAGAATGTCTTGGATGCAGAACAATTATGTTAAATCGCAAGGAAGTAAATGTATCTTGGTCTCAAAGAGTAAGAAGCCTATAGACTATAACAATCTAAGCTCACAAATCTAGATGAAATTTATGACATTTGTATGTCAGATATACCACTTAACAATATTAAAGTCATACTTTATAGATTAAATTTCTATATTTTGCCTCCTTGTTAAGGCAAATGTTTTGTTGCCACTAGAAATAAGCAAAATATAAATCTATAATATATTCATGTCTTTTCAGATCGGAACTTTATAATTGCAAATGCCCAGTTGGACAATCGGCCAGTGATATTCTGTAACGATGGCTTCTGTGACATGTGTGACTATTCACGTGCTGAAGTCATGCAGAAGAACTGCTCTTGTGACTTTCTCCATGGTCCACTCACTGCTGCATCCGCGATACGCGCAATCAAGGAGTGTTTACGGGGAACAGAGGAAAAACAAATTGAGATTTTATACTATAAGAAAGATGGTAAGTCATTTTGTTGTTGAAGATTTAAATATATAGATATATTTTTTCTGGATCTAAAAAGGTATGGTATAGCTGTCAGTTTGGTAGTTGGCTAATTGCAGATGGATTGACAGCAGTTTTTGAACAAGGTTTTGCCCATTTGTACAATATATGTCACAAACCAACCAGATAAAAATATTTAGGAGAATATGTGCTTATGACGAGATGTGTGGTTGCAATTGATAGGTGTATTACAGAGATTGACATGAAATGTCTGTGTTTCATTCACTAATACCAATATTTATAAAATCAATATACAGTGTATAAAGATACCATAGTCTTATAAGAAAATTAATTACAGATGTCGAGTGGTACACCCAATGAAGTTAACTTGCTTTTTCCATTCAAGAATATGACTTCACAACAAAAATGTTTCTTTAAGAGAAAAATGTAGAATAATGTGTTTGTAGAATCATTGAAATAGAGGAAATCTATCAACAGACTTAACTAGCTTAGTTATAAATGTTCCTACTTCACTACTTCACTAATCTTTCCTCATTACCAATAATATGTGAAAATCAAATCAAGTTCCTTAATGCTTGTTAGTAGGCATAAGAGACTCATACGGTAGCCAGGTCGAAATATGCCAATTGCAGTCTTGAATATATTTGAAATACTGTATTGCATCATGGGGCCTGTGAGGCCCTAAGAAAGCTGTTTCTGGGGTTATATGTTCATTGACCTTTCAAGATTTTTGCCTATTATTGTAAACCTCACCGGGTCAAGTAAGTTTTCTGAAGTAAAATGTTACTGCCTTACGTCATTCTGATACTCATCTCACCTCTTGGTACTAAAGCGCTGAATTTGTGATGCTAAATCGAGAAGTTGCCATGGTTATTCATGATTCATGATGTCTTTACGTGTAGTCACATGGTAATAGTTTATTTGAGTCTCTTTAAATTTAAGTCTTACGTATTATGCAGGGAATGTGGCCTTCTTGCTTGCCATTTTTGCTTCTATATTCCAAAAAACATTCACCATTTGAGCCAGTACCAACTAGTACTATTTTTCCCTTTATATTGAAAAGTGTGATTTTAGTGACTCTGGAATTAGTAGTAATTATTACTGTATCTAATTTTCAGGGAGCATCTCTTTCAGGGGCATAGATTAACATTTTTAGTTGAATAGAGAACACATTTGTCTATTTGTACTGAAATTGATTGATTTTTATTATACTTTACATATAAATCTGAGGTCATGTTAATTCTGGCATGTAAAATGTATTTGACTTGGGGTGGTGACATATTTTTATAGTCTCCAACTTTTGTTGAATTCAAAAATTCTCTGAAATTTTCTATTTAACTGTACTCAACTCATATTTATTTCTCTAAGCTGTAATAAGAAGCTATATTTAAAACACATCTCTATAAGCTTAATGTATAATGGTATATTCATAAAGTGAGGAAAATTATTGGATAATGAAACTGATATTTCCTTCTTTTTTCAGTGAATACCTGTGTCACATTTACAAATTAAAAATTCCACTAACCATTCAAACTTCATGGAAAATGACTTGGGAAAGATTCACATGGACATCTATTCAATGAATAAAATGTTCATACACGTACATGTATATTATATACTCATTCATTTTCATTTTTGATATTATTTCAGGGACAAAGTTCTTATGCAGTGTTTTATTGGCTCCTGTCAAGAATGAGAATGGTGACATCATAATGTTTATTCTGAACTTTGAGGATATCACTGATGCACCCATTCGCAATGATCTCAACAATATTACAACAACTAAAAGTAAGTCAGTTGTTATATAACATTTTTCTCTAAATGGTTTATACTGGAATATGTGTCTGACTGTGCATTATCTTTTCCTTGTTGACCCTTACAGCATTGTATATTTTAAGTCGTGTCCAGTTTTGTGCCTGAAAATTAGCTTATGGAGAACATGTTTTCTTTTGCAGATAGCAACAATATGTTTAAACTGCGTATGCCTTCAATACGTAGGGAGCTCAAACGGGTGAAAAAGAAGCGACAAAAAGATCCAGAAAATCCAATGGTAGACGAGGAGGCAGTGCCTTTAAATCGTATAACAGAGGTACCAAATCAGCCATACACACCCACCCAAGATAAGCTCACTGAAAACTGTGCAAGAGATGGTGTCGTGCTGCAGAATAGCCAAGGTATGGTGGGGATCACATGGCGGGGATTTAACATTTTTTTTATAATCTATCAAAGAAATAAGCATGTTTCTTATTCTTATCTACTGACGAAATTTGCATATTTCTTGTACATGTGTTTGTAACCCTTTCAACTGAAGGAAACGGCCTGCTAGTTTGACAGTTATCATATTGAAATGGATGTTTTGGATGGCTTTCTCTGTACAATTGAACAAGCTTAGGACCTAAATTGTTTTATTCCTCGGCAAAATAACTTAAGATCTTACCCTAAATTTCTATATTTGGTCAATGAAGTTCAAAATGAACTAAGAGTGTCCTAAGTTAGAAATTATTCATTTTTAATCATAAACATGAGATCTATGGTCTGTGGTGGAAGAGGAAACCTTGATTTATCAAATTTCTTATTATTTATTGTGACCTTCAGAGCTCTGAGATCTCCAATAATCCTCACACATGTTTGTGACATGTCATTATCATCCACGTTCATTGTGGAAGTATAGTTAACCAACCTGACTGAGAGATAAGATCAGGATGAAGGTGGGTTGGGTCATCTTTGATAACATGGAGAACATTTTAAGTCAGATTTTATAAGGGGCGGGATGCATATTGTTTATTATCAAATTATAACTGCCCATTTGAAAATAGGTTTTCAAAATGAAATATCAATTTTCGTTAATGTTCATATATTGCACCCATACCCCCTGGTTGGGATCACTTGCTGCGCTTGCAATTCACACTGCACTTTAAAATACAAACTATGCTCATTGCATAACCTAATTAACCCCCCCCCCCCTATCTGGAACTGTTATTGATATGCACTTTCATATACCATGCACTCAAGTTAACATTTAACATGGAGCTATCCTATTTTATACTTATTTTCAGTGCAAGGAAACCATTTGAAGAATTTCCTAAATCAAGCATCTAGCGATTCTGACCTCAGTAGACACAAGGCTAACCTCATCTCTAACAGTCTTACCAATATAGCAAATGAGGTCATCTTTAAAAAATCCCAGGATAAAGACTCAATCATATCATCATCAAAAGGCCTTTTTCTTCCCAGTGTACAGAATGTTAAAAATAATGTCAGTGAAAAAGTTGCTCAGGTGAGTTGATGCGCTTTCGATATTGTTTGAGTGTGTTGTGGTTTTTGTTGTTCAATGTATTTGGTGATGCATGGTTTGGGGAAATTTCTTGGAAATGCTGATCGGCTAAACAAAATGGGAACCAAGTTTTAGGGTCCTAGTCCAAGGGGTCTTATCTCTCTTGCACAAAATTAGAGCAATGGGCCATGATAATGATCAGGGAACATCACATCATGTTGACAATTATTATTTCACCATCATGAAGTTATTGGCAATGACATAGGTCTCTTCATCTATAACCTGTAACATTTTTACATATAACAATACTCATGACAATAGCTCATGAATAAGTGGTGGAAATGACATTTTACGATATTGATATGCACAAGTATCACTTTTTATGAGCTCATTGCATGATAATTCCAGCCTTGGATTACCATTTCCTCCTCATATATGTCTCCCCTTCCATCCATGTTGTAATAACTTTAATATGAATGAAAGGTCTTGTGATCTTGTGTATTCAGACAGTGATGATGATTCCTGAATGGTGGGGATTGAGGTGTTAGACATTGTTTATTACCTGCTAGATCAGAGTTTGGGATATTTGGGGTTTGGTTTATTTTTATGACTTTCAATTGATTTTTTGCTGTATTTTCTCACGTTTTTTACTCTGCGATGAACTGTCCTTATATAGTTAACTGATTGATTTGTTGTTTTGGAAATCTTGTGTGAGAATTCGACTTTTAGGCTTAGGCATATTGGGTTAATTTTGAGAGGACATTTGGGAGGATTACTGCTTTGTTTGTTTGGTTTTGCACTGCTACATTTAAAGTACAATATTGTATATCATGTGCTTTGCTTATTACAATCTTCCTCTGGGTTTGCCAAAATATGCCCTGTCTTATATTAAAACCCTTACCCCCGTTTAAGAACTGCCCATCTAAATGATGCATATTGCACCCATAATTTTATATGTGGGTTTTTACATTTTTGAATGTAACTTGGAAACAGTGCGGCATTTTTGTTGATATTTTTCAGATGAATATATTTAGTAGGCCACTGTGTTTTTAGATGCCAACAATTTTGAAATGACTGTATAATAGAAGCTTAGTCAAAATTTTGATTTTGATGCCATTTTGAATACCAAATTTGCAATATGCTACTCTATAAATCTTGACCTGATTAGTTCATGTGCATGCTGAATGTTTAAATGCTCTTCAATTGTGATATGCATCAATGGTTATCTTGTTATTTTACAGAGTTGAAGCTTTAACACTAGTTATGCACAGCTTTTTTGATTTTATAGCCACAATTTTAATGGAAATTTTCATGAAAATCTTTTCCAGGTTCATGTACCATTTGTTGTTGTCATGCCCTTAGAACTGTAGTGCCATTATAGATTTTGATAAAAATTGAAGATATTTATCCCAACAAACAATGTTTGTTAGGGCTATACTGAAGTCTTCTGACTATACATCAGTTGACAGTCAGTCCTATCAATATGTTTGTCTGTCCATCCACCTGGGAAATATTTCAAACACAAGTAAACTTTTCTTCATATTTGAAAGAAAGATGTATAATATGCGTATGTATAATACAAATATTTTTTACATGAATATTACAAAGTTAGCTTTGGAAATAGTTTGAATATCTTTAGTTCTCATCCTCCGAACGCATGGTTCCAGAATCATACACAAAGTTCCTTCCTTCTTCCACCCTGTGATCAGCTGTTCAGCAAATATACCACTAACGATCCTAGAAGAAGGAAGGAACTTTGTGTATGATTCTGGAACCCTGCATTTGGAAGATGTTAGTTCCAATGTTTGAGTATTGGTAGCAAGATATAAGATATGCTTATTTGACATATTCTGAGTTTATGGCTCAATCCCCAAGGGGTTGATTTACTAACTAAAGATGAAATTTAGAGAAGATGGCCTCCTGATTTTTGCTTTTGAAGGGCCATCCATATACTTGAATTGATGAGATATCTCTTCTTGCAAATCATGAAAATATCATTATTATAACATACAGTAAAGCCTTATTAAACCTTGGCCTCTCTTAAGTGAACACTTGTGTTTAGTGAACACCACTTCATGACACATTTTACATTTACTCATGTATGAAATCCCTTCTTAGTTGTGAACACCTTCCTGCAGTGAACACTTTTTGTGGCTCCATAGGTGTTCACTGTATACATGTTCTACTGTATTTCAAATACTTTAAATCCCCCAGATTTAGTTTGTTTGTTGGGATCATGGCTACTCCATGAAGTTGCCCTTTTTCTAGATGTAAATGTATGATTTGACATAATTGTGGTTGATGATTATTGTCGTATAGAATGTTTCAAATGTCATTGTCAATAGTCATTGTCTAATTGTATGAATGAATGATATAACATAAAATAGTGATTGTTTGTAATTGTATTGTATTAATGTTTAAACAGACATTAGTTGGTGTGGATTCACAGGTATTGGTACTTTTGTTTATAAGCCTTTTATACCTATGTATATTATGATCAGTTTATGATCAATTTCCAATTTTTTGATTTTTCAGTTTAATAAAATCAGAGTAATTTCATAGTCATTATTCATTTTGGGAAAAGGCAGGTAAAATACAGTAATGTTCCTTGTAATTAAAGAATCAGTGTGCTCATTATAACGATAACTGCTGCCTTAATATTGAGATTTTAACTGCTGCCTATATTGAGATTTCAATTGCTGCCTATATTGAGATTTTAAGACTCCTATCTTTCATATATCAAACACTAATATACTTGATATACTTGATTTTAGGAGTTTTCATTTTATGATTTATGAAGTCATGAATGATAAATTCCTTTTACATTTATATTGCATATTTATTAACAAAATTCAATTTCATGAAGTTCTATATATCTTGGGAACTCTCTATATTTATTGTACATTGAATAAATCACAGTTACTTGCTTTTAGAAAGATTTTTCTATGTCATTCTGTCTGTCTTTCTAGATGTATGTAGGCCACAATTAATACTAGTACTTAATATTATATTACTTGCATCTATATGTTTTGTCCTAGACCGTCATGTTTATAAGTAATGTGTTTTATTTTTTAGCTGCACCGGAAGGTGAAGTTTCAAAATATTACTTCTCTGCAAATTATACATTTTAATAATTCACATTACTATAGTTCAATTTGCTATAAAACAATAATTTGTTATCCCAATGAACAAAGTTTTGTATGCAGAGAAACCCGTTGTCTCTCTGTTAGTCTGTATACAAATTAATCAACCAAATCTTGAAATATTGAAAATGATGATCTTTTTGGAAAAAACATCATTTTTAATGGAAATGAATGTTATCATTTTGTTCATTGGGATTTGATACTCTGTTAAGCAGCATCAGCATCACAGATCTGCATAATAAAGAATATATTTTTGATAGTTATTTGATTATACTTTGGTTAATTGTGCTTCAAATATACGTTTTTTATTACTCTATTTTATTTCCTTTTTATACAGGGCATTAACAATTCATATTATAAAGTGCTGCATTGTGTTTCATCAATTTTAGAAAATCTGATTCACATTAACCTTCAATATACAGGGTGTCCAATAAATAAGGAGAAAGATACTGTAACTTTCTTAATATTGCGCTTGTAAAAAAATTGTAAAAAGTGCCCATACAACTATTATTCCACTGAATGAAGTTTTACCAGGGATATAGAGAAGCTGGCTGTCCACCCGTCTATTCATCTATCTGTATATTGGTCCCTCAATAGCTGCATGTTATCATACCATATTGTCAAAAAAGTTATGCTGTATGTATGTCTAGGAGCTCTACAAGCTTTTTTAAAAATCAGACCTTTGTTCAAAAAGCTGCTCTATTCAAAATCACTGCCAATATCTGTCAAAATGACATAATACTAGTTCGAATACCTCTTTAGCATTATTTTGAAGATATTTGACATAATAAGGCATTATGGGTTTACAGCCTCTATAGAGGGGATTTTATTAGAAATGGCTGCTAAAATACGAATGGATTTGGATTTTGTGAAAATTGATTATAATAGTATGTTCTGTTGGGTGGGATTAGCTACTCCGTGGAGTTACTATTTGTTCTCCTTGCTGATTGCTGATTAAAATAGGAATTGAAAGATTTATTCTGTTTCAGGTGCTGTCACTCGGTGCTGAAGTATTGCCAGAGTACAAGTTGCAATCTCCTCGCGTCCACAGATGTACCATCCTTCATTATTCCCCCTTTAAGGCAGTTTGGGACTGGCTTATTCTCATCCTAGTTATATACACAGCAATATTCACACCGTATGTCGCTGCCTTTCTGCTCAATGAAAAATCCTTTGTGGAGAGTGGTAGCAAGACAATGAATGCTGAGCATTACAGTGACCCACTCACCATCATTGACCTTATTGTTGATGTCATGTTCATCATTGATATCCTTATTAACTTTAGGACAACTTATGTTAATAAGAATGATGAGGTTGTTAGTCATCATGGGAAAATTGCCGTACATTATTTTAAAGGCTGGTTCCTGATTGATGTTGTAGCTGCAATTCCCTTTGACCTGCTGTTGTTCGGCTCAGAAACTGATGAGGTAAGACTATGCGATAGATCTGAATGGTTTAACTGGGACAACACCTTTAGACTTGAGCAAATGGAAGTTTGAGGAATAGGGTCCATTAACATTGAGATTTGTGATCTATTTTGCTCCAAAGTTCCAATGTATCCTTGGAATAAACAAATAACTGTCATAACTAATTTAAAAATACTCAAATTTTATTTTTTTCAATGCATTTCCATGCTCATTATTTTGATTAAAATTGATATTATTTATTTATTTTGATGTACACTATTTATAACAGTGGCACTCTAACACTATATCAGGTGCATCCAATACTAAATCATATTAGTTTCACATGTGGGTGATATTGTATCTTGCTCTTATAAAGTGCGTTCAAGGCGCTTTCAAGTGCATATTAAAAATTATTTCCGGAAACATCTGCAACTTTGCTGCGAAGTCAGGTTATTGTAAAAGTATATTTTATTTATGATACAATATATCCACAATCTCTTACAAGCTGCTTACTTGAAATTTTCATACCAGAGATAGTGGCATTTACCAAACATGACAAAAAGATGTTTCGCAAAAGTACCCATGTTTGTTTAGATTAAAGGTCATATTGATAAGTTTTCTATCTTAATTCCACATTATCTTCTAATTTACTTCCAACTTACTGTTTCATGTTAAGTTCTGAGTTGGTAAGATTGTCTAAGTGGGTGAAGTATAGAGAAGAAAATCCCATTGAAGCATTTCATCTCAAATGCTCCTGCTTAGTGAAACATTTCTCAGTGTTTATTAGAATCTTATCTGGTTTCTCATTGCGATATCTGGGTAGCCTGACCGTGGATTTAGAGAAAAATGAACTTGATAGAGTAACCCCACTATAACCTAAGATATAATTGATGCTTTCTAAAAATAACTATATGAAGCGTGCTAAAATTGCTGGTATCATTTGTTTGTTTTTTGTATGATAAGGTAAATTGCTCAAATCAAAATTAATATTGTGTATCATGGGACCCGTTATTCAAACACAAAATAGATATATCAAGTATTGTACATTAATAGCATACATTCATTCTCATAAATACTTGGGCAGAGTCTATTAAACTGATTGATAACATCGAACTAGTTTTGATAGGCTATCCAATGTGTCATAAACCTCCAAATGTTAAGAGGATTGAATTCAGTAATTCCTTATAAGTGCTTATAAGTAATATCTTCTGGGTGAGATCAAAGATATTTACTTGATAGGGCTATGACTTTAATATTAATTGAAGAATCAATTGAATCAATTCAATTGAAGAATATGCTCAGTCTCAAATGCATGTTCTAAATGTATGATGTCTAAAACCAGTAATCAAAACTTCAATTAATATTTTCTACAAGTGTTGGTTCTTGAGTTGCTAGTTCAATTTGTTCAATGAGTTTCCTACAAGTTTCCTTAGAAAACTAAACCTGAATTCATTGTTTTTAAATCTTCAAACTTGTTCCATTCAAAGCAAAACAAAATTGCCGTGCAGTATGAAACTCGCAATCCTTGATTTCCAAACATCTGGTAGGTCAAAAATTAACTGTCGAAGTTAGTACCGCTTGAGCATAGGGTTTAAGGATTAGATGGGTTTAAAGCTAGTGCTTTAAAATCTTGTAGTTAAATAAAGAAATTGTAGTCATCATGTATATAAGGCACCTTACTACAAGAGTCCTAAATGGACCTAAATGTGACCTTCAACTTTAAAATAGTAAAATTAGATACTGAGTAAAGAATATGTTAAATAATTTTAAAACTTGAATTTTGGTTGTTTCAGACGACAACTTTAATTGGCTTATTGAAAACTGCACGTCTGCTGAGGCTTGTACGGGTTGCACGAAAATTGGACAGATACTCAGAATATGGTGCTGCAGTACTCCTGTTGCTTATGGCAACATTTGCCCTGATTGCTCATTGGTTAGCGTGTATATGGTACGCTATTGGGAATGTAGAACGTCCTGGGCTACCTGAGCCAAAGATTGGCTGGCTTGATGACCTAGCAAGACAGACCCATCAACCGTTTACAAATGCCTCGGATGGAGGTGGGCCCACTATCAAGTCTAAATATATCACCGCCCTCTATTTTACATTTAGTAGTCTAACAAGTGTCGGATTTGGAAATGTCTCTCCAAATACCAACTCAGAGAAAGTGTTTTCAATATGTGTTATGCTCATAGGATGTAAGTGTAACAAAATGTATTTTTATTATATTTTAACTTCACTTTTTTATTTCTCATCATATATTTGAAACTTTATCTAAAATTAATACATTTGAAAAATTATTCAGCATGATAAATAAATTTCGATATCATAATTCTAACATGAACTACCATACATGTATACAATTAAGCATGCAGATTGTTGTGTAATGCTTTTCCATGTTCATCCCTCACATGCTTAACCTCTATGACTATTGTGAAATGATCATTTGTCCAATGTTTTCCAGCCCTCATGTATGCCAGTATATTTGGAAATGTCAGTGCAATTATTCAGCGTCTTTACTCTGGGACATCCCGCTACCACACACAGATGATGAAAGTTAAAGAGTTCATACGTTTCCATCAAATCCCAAACCCCCTACGCCAACGCTTGGAAGAATATTTTCAACACGCTTGGTCATATACTAATGGTATTGACATGAACATGGTAAGCTTTCACAGATGCTACACATCATTTCTAGGATTCTACTCATTTACTCATTACATACAAACATTTTCTTATTGCAACATCTTAAGAGTATTTGATCAGTCATTTATGTTTTTAGAAAATACATTTCCCTCTTATTCTTCAACCTTTTTCATTGAAGAGCTTTCACTCCAAGTGAACTTTTAGTCAGATAAGAATACTTTTCACAAAATCTTTAAGGTGCGATATCTCTAATCTCAAGCCCATCTTTAAATTCTGAATACAAGGTCAATTATGGTATGATTGCTAGATTTATCTTTTATTTATTCCTTTCAAATGCTCTGTATTGCAGGTTCTTAAAGGTTTTCCAGAGTGTCTGCAAGCAGATATCTGCCTTCATCTTAACAGACAGCTACTGGAAAGTAGTCATGCATTTAAAGGTACATATTTAAATAATATTTTATTTATTGCAATTGGTTGTGCTGCTTCACAAACCATAAAGTTGGGGGCTTATTTTGATGTATGACACCATCTTGAATTTTCAGTACACACTGCTTAAATAGCAAAAAGATGGCAATGTATTTTCATAAACTGATAAGTTGTTACACGACCTAAGTGTTACAATAACATATAACACATAATTTTTTAAAAGCAAATTTTGCCATCTATAATATCATTGAACACCCAGGGACTGAGAAAATTGTAATTTTTATCATAATTCAAATATCGATGAGTGAAATACTACTTGGGTAAAATATCTTCCATCCTAAAATCCTATTTGTAACTTGGGATTAGCTTAGTCTTCTAGAAGCTTTTATAAATTCTAAATAACTCAAGGGTGCGATATTATCACACATGTGTCTTGTTCTAGTTCTGATTGGGTTAGAGAATGTTGTGCACACCTTTGTTAATTTTTTCTATCACCATAGATGCAATTTTAAACTTTGAATGATTTACAGTACTTGTAAGAATTATGCATTCAGCTGAATTATCCTAATAAATTAACAAAAAAAAACTAGGAAGCCTTGAACTGAGTTTATACATGTACCTGAATGTTTTTTTTTCTTTCTAGATGCTAGTCCAGGGTGCCTGAGGACACTCTCTATCAGGTTTAAGACAACCCATGTTCCACCAGGCGACACATTGGTCCACAGAGGGGACATCCTGGATGCCCTCTACTTTGTATCTAGGGGCTCAATAGAAATACTGAAGGAGGACATCGTACTTGCAATATTAGGTATTATTATATCACTGTCATATTCATCACTCTCTGATTGGTCTATGTCCTACATGTGACTTAAAAATAACATTCAATATCAAATGATCATCAGTCATGACTTAGTCCAGTGTAATTTTGATTATTACACATTAATAGTTTGTTATTTTTCTATTGATGTGAGCAAGGAATATAACAGTGAATAATAAAACAAATATTTAATTCTGTTTTTGGTGAATACCTTTAACACTTTCACAAGATGATATTTCACTAACCCTTTGGGCTTCATGGAATATTGTATTCATCTCAATTAAATTCAACATTGATATGATGCATTTTTCATATTATTTACATCAATTAATCCTCTTGATTTGGAATGTAGAACTATAAGCAAGTTAAACATTAAAGTAGAATTGCTTATTGATCATATACAAAATGGCACATCATTTAAAAATTGCTTGAACAATACCTCACCAACATTCAAAATGTTCTTTGATCTCCATGTCCCGGGGGGTTCACTCTAAATAATTTGGGTAGGCATGTGCAGCAGGGGCAATTTTGGCTTAGGGCATAATCCATGGAAGCTGGCCAATCTGAGAGGAAAAAAACATGGAAAATTTGTCGAAGAGAGAGCCTTTTTTAAGTCAAAAATCAGTTTTTTTTACAAATAATGGTAATAAATCAGTAGAATCAGTTGACGAGTCTGGGATAAATCACCTAAAGAAGTGGTTTTTATGGTTATACACCAATATTTCAGGAAATTTACTCCCTTTTATAAGTCCGAGAGGAAGTATACATGGAAACTTTCAATCTTGAGAGGAAATTGACATGGAAAAGATGCTCAAAAAGGTGGTCTTTTGCGCGGCACATAGGTATTAAGAGGTATATTGGAGTGAACCCCCCGGGCTCCATGTATATTCCTTTTAATATCATGATAATACATTTCCAGGTAAAGATGATGTTTTTGGTGAGAACATCTGCCACTATGAGACAGTGGGGAAGTCAAGCTGTAATGTCCGAGCACTTACTTACTGTGACCTCCATAAGATACAGCGTGATGACCTCCTAGACATTCTAGAGATGTATCCAGAGTTTGCTGAGCATTTTACCAAAAATCTAGAGGTCACATTTGACCTAAGAGATGTAAGATATGGTTTTGGTGATTATTAAGTGGCCCACTAGGCCATCTGTATATTTTTGTCAAGTTGATTAGTTATTTGTTCCTGACACTTTTTATCTTATCTTACTTCGAGCTATTTTTCAGTTATTTTTGCTGTCATGCTGTATGATTCTTGATCAATCTGACTTGATCTTTTTTGGATATTTTTTACTGTTAAGATCAAAATCTAGATCTAATGTATTGCAAACGTTATTCTCTTGTGTTTTAGATTCTATATGGCCACCCAAATATTAAATTATTTAATCTCTTCAATGTGCACCCGAGAATATGACATTCAATAACAGCAAGTGACTCATCAATGTTTAATGACAGTCAAGAAAATCCAAAATTAGATGTAGATATAGATATTTTCCTTCAAAGAAAGCTGGGGTGTTCCAGATAACCTTTTAAATAAGATGTTGTCATTTACAATTCTTTAATCTTAATCATTCATAATCATATATAACAATATATAAAGTACTTTTAAGCCAATAATGATTTGAAAACTATTGTTGTGTTCTTTTGGATCTGTTCTCAGATGAGCTACTGTCTTCTCGTATTTGTATGCGTATTTAATTCAAGGAGGATTTGGTTGTGTGTCCCCAAGATGACGAAGACTCAGAAGGGGATGAGACACCAAGAATGAAGTTTCTGCGCAATAGGCGCAACAAGTCTTCCATATATAGGAAAAATGAAAACATGAAAGGTACAAAATTTAAGTCTTAATTGACCTTGAGTAATGATCCTTGTATTATTTTTGTTTAAATTTTTGAAATAATATTTTTGATGTAATTAGCTGGTTTTGTATTGTATTTTGATTACCATCAATGAAGGTGAGCAATACCTCTGAGGTATATGGGTGGACATCTTTCATTTACATTCGAGTCATTTTATTGTAATAAGAAGTGATTGAGAGTATCTTTCTTGAAAAGTCTAACTGATGTATTACTTTATTTTATGCTAATGTTTTAATTTAATTTTTTTTATCGTCATCTTGTGCTGATGGGCATATTTTTGCCTGTCTTGGTGGGCTTGTGCCACATAATTCTTGTTATCATATTTCCAGGAAAATCCCTTATACGTCAAACAGACTAGTTTTTATTTTTATTTTTTGAATGCAATATTTGTCACTATGTACAGGGTGTTCAAAAAAAATGCAACCCAAAGAAATCACTATATCTTGAAAAATACTGGTTCAATTATCTTCATATTTTCAGGAAATAAAGAAGAGACTGTGTATGTATAGCTGCTGTAAATGGTTAGTTGTAAAACATGATGCCTTGGACACCTACTCAAAAGACAGTTGTACTAGAAAAATACGAAAAACGCAATCAGGGGTGACTGCAATCTCAAAAAAATTAAATAACTTTCTAACCATAGTGTTTTGACTCTTCAAATTTGGCACAAATCATCTTCATTCACTGTATGGTAAATCTGTAGAGTGAAATCAAAATCACTTCAGGGACTTTACAGTCATGGTTGAAATGCTTTCAAATAGCAGTCAAACGCCCTGGTTCAGGGAGACTTAAGAAGGCATTTTGACCATGACTGTAAAGTCCCTGGAGTGATTTTGATGAAACTCCACAAATTCACCACACATTGAATGAGGATAATTTGTGCCAAATCTGAAGTGCCAAAACACCATGGTTAGAAAGTTATTTGGTTTTATTGCTGTGCCAGTCACCTCTGACTGCGTTTTCATGTTTTCCTAGAACAACTGTCATTTGAGCAGGTGTCCAAGGCATCATGTTTTACAACTTACTGACAACAGGAGCTATACATACACAGTCTCTTCTTTCCTTTCCTGAAAAAATGAACATAATTGAATTAGTATTTTCCAAGATATAGGGATTTTCCATTCGCGTTTTTCGTATTTTGCTAGTACAACTGTCTTTTGAGCAAGTGTCCAAGACATCATGTTTTACAACTAACTAACAACAAGGGCTATACATACATAGTCTCTTCTTTCTTTCCTGAAAATATGAACATAATTGGATGAGTATTTTCCAAGATATAGCGATTTCTTTGGGTTGCATTTTTTTTTGAACACCCTGTATATTGTTTAAGATGTTCTTCCACCGAACACAGTTCAAGTATGGATATAGAAAGGATGTCTATCTGTTTATCTAATCTGTTATCTATTTTGACAATAACTCAAATCGTTGTTGCTTTTACATGTAAATCAAAATTAAAATACACATTAAATCCAGAAAGATTGTAATGTTTTTCGCTTTTGTCTGCAAAGCCCACCATGTAGAGTACAAATTCATTGTAGAGAATTTCTGTTTTGTTTATTGCAGATAAAACAGAAAGTTTTCATCCATCCCGGAGACGACGGGGTCGAAGGAGAGAAAGTGATGTTACCCATAGTATAGCATCCATCTCCAGTGATGAAGACATGAGAGAAAGTGGTGTAGGAATCTTGGAATTCTCTCCAGAGAAGGCTGGGATGGATGTCACTCCTGCTAATTTTGTCTTTCAGAAAAAACGTTATGAAGATAGAAAACGCCATTCTGGCACTTTAACTTCCATAGCTGGTAGGTTTTAAGGTCATCTTAAGTAGAATCTTAATGTTTGAAGAATTATTTAAATGATGCCAACTTAACACTATAACGTGAAATATCAGTACTGTCAACCCCTAAAGATTTTCTCGCGGGACAGATTTTTTAGACCCAGTGCCCAAAATTCGCGGGATTTTGCGGGACATCTACTAAATTCGCGGGATTTTGCGGGACATTTAAGGGATTTGCGTGATTGCGCTAATAGGCCAAATTTTTTTTTATCAAATTCGCGGGATTTCGCGGGGCCATTCGAGGGACAAACACCCTAATTGCTGGATAGTTAACAGGTTTACCACCAAAAACTTGATAGAGGGACAGATTTTTTAGACAAAGTGCCCTAAATTTCGCGGGACATTCACCTAAATTTGCAGGATGTCCCGGGACATTCAAGGATTTGCGTGATTGGGACTAATGTAAAAGCGTGTAAAAGTACTTAAATCAAACTTCCAGATACTGATTAATCAAATACAATGCACCGTTGCATTGTAACTTAAATAAACGTCAACACAATTTCAAAAAAATACGTATAGGAATATTATTAAACTTTATTGTAATTTTTCAAAAGCAAAAACCCTGCTTCAGGTGTGAGTACCGTAATCTAACACGAAATTCAAAAATTCGGAACAATACTTTGCACTTCTGGCGTCGTGAACAACTATGAAACGCTTACCCCCATAATGTTATATATTAAAATGTACCTATTCATATACTGTAGGCATTTTCTTTCAATTGAAAGCCCATGATATAGGGGTTCGATTAATCTACATCAAATTATAGGGAATGGGGTTACTTTTCTAGATAGGGTTTGTAGAAAAAAACAGTTACCGGATAGTAAATCCTCCATGCTGGGTTCAAACTTGGTACCCGGTCGAAAAAACCGGGTACCCAAAAAACGAAATATACGAATATACAACATAATTAGATCATTAGAAAACGTGTAAGATTTGTTTTGAATTTACAAAAATGTATGTAACTTCCTTCAAAATTGAGCTAGAAGCTTCAAATAAAAAGCATTTTAAGGCTCTTTTCGTCCTCTATCATCATGGTCATATTTCCATTGGTAATGAAGGGGGAGGGGGTGCACCCCTCCTGGCTACGCCAATGACATTGTAAGACGATTTGAAAAACAAGACAAATCAATCTTACTCTATGTTCAATAGTTCGTTTGTTGGTACGTGAATTGTTTTGATTATGATTTAAATCTGTAAATAGCTATCGTTGCTTTAGCAGGGAGCTGACGTGTGTTAATTTACATGATTTTGATTATTAATCATAATTTAAGTTATCCCAATTTTCGACAAAATGTCCACTGAATTGTAAATTGTTATGTCTTACAATGTCATAGGCGTAGCCAGGAGATGGTGCGATGGTGCGATCGCAACCCCCCCCCCCATAACCAATGAAAATAGAGCCATGACGATATAGGAAGAAAAGAGCCTTAAATATGCTTTTTATTTGAAGCTTTTAGCTCAATTTTGAAGGATTTTACATACATTTTTGTCGAATTCAAAACAAATCTTACACGTTTTCTCATAATCTAATTATGTTATATATTTGTATTTTTCATTTTTTTGGGTACCCGTTTTTTGACCGGGTACCGGGTACCAAGTTTGAACCCAGCATGGAGGATTTACTATCCGGTACCCGGTTTTTCTACAAACCCTTTCTAGATATCAGCGTCCATTTATTGTAACTCGCGTTTGCTATCATTTGCTTGAAGTTCTGAGATGAAGGCCACACGGATAGTAAAAAGGCCAACGTTAGAACTATTTTTGACCTACATCCCTATTTTCGTAATTAAAATGAAAGTTGAACCCTTCCTCTTTATTTTGATAACAAACAACAGCATGCTAGGTACTTAAAATTAGGTAAACTTTACTCCTCAAAAGTGCAAAAACTTAGCTTCTTATATAAGATAAGATAATCACAATATAGGGGATTGCAACAATTTCGGAAATTCTCGGAGGTCAAAACCACATTCGCGGGACTTCGCGGGACATTTCGGGACACGCGAATTAGCCTAATTTTGATCAAATTCGCGGGATAATCCCGCCATTCGCGGGACGCTTGACAGCTCTGAAATATGTATATATGCGGATGTTTACAACTCTTTCAAAAATATTTTCTTGTTCGATTTATCACTGAGGCATTGTTTCAAATACAATACAATGCAATTGTTGATTTCATTAGGTGACAATCCCAATATTCTGACATCAAATATATTTGGATGCTTTTACTCAGCTATATTGTGATCAGTGCTAGGGGGTGGGCTTCCAGAATTTATGTTCATGCATTTAACCAAATAATAATCAATAAAAATACTTATTGTTATTAAAATGAAAACAATAATCTCACCTTTAGAAATCATATCTACAATAACTTCTGTGGTGTTTAAGGTGCCCTATCAAGTGTGAATAATGTGATGAGCGCATTAACAGGAGGATCAGCTGCCCGAAGACAGAGCACTGAGATGGCGCCACTGCTCCAGAAAGATGGTGCTGCCAGTCCATCCACACAGGTATGTAGAATATTTTGGGGCACTAATCTTTGCTTTCGGAGAGTGGGCTTTGTATTCTTTTAGTGAATCAATTGCTGTGTGTTAGGCAAACCATGCATGTAACTATAATACTGAAATGAAGTTTTGTGTATTCTTGGATATGAACATTACTTTTCCGAGGTATTAGATACCATATCCTTCATATTCATTAAATGTAGTTTGTTACAATACATGTATATAAGCTATAGAAATTCAACATGCAAAGAAAAATACCTTAATCCTTTCATATTGTTTTTCAGAGAAAGGCTACAGTCTCAAGTTCCAGTGTTCCAAAATCCACATCAAGTATGACACTCCCTGTCTCTAGTCCTTCCAGCCAATCACAGTTTGACGAGTCACATGAGCTACAAAAGGTTGACACACAAGATGTACATGAACATCAAATATCTGCTCCATCTGGTGGCATGGATGTCGAAGTACAGCTTGCAGAGCTTGGAAAGTATGTTTTACCATTACACCCAGTCATTGTGAAATTAAAGAGACTTATAGCTCCCCATATTTAGTCTTTGTCTATGGACAAAGGCTTCAAACACAGTGATCAATCACTATGTATCAGTATTATTGCCTCATGTATGAATCACTTTGAACTATGCCTTATCTCCTCTTTATATTTAGATAATAAGTATGACAAGGAATACAAAAGTGTATGGTTCTAAATGTACCTTGTGAAATTGTGGAATATCCTGGAGTAAAATAGGTAAATCTGTGTATTTTTATTTTAGGCAACTGAATAGGTTAGAACAAAAGATGACATCAGACATTCACATGATTCTAGCTCTGTTGAAGTCGCAACAAGGTTGCTCGATTGCCATGCCAACAATGCCTGTTGCCACGGCTACAGCTACATTTCCCGCTCAATCTAGTAGTAACATGGTGCCAAGTAGTGAGGTAAACAGTGGCCAGAGTGTGTCATCTCCAACAGAGAGCCCTATATTCCCTCCTCCTCCCCCAGCTTATGAAGCCAGACAGGTAACCACTACTTTTCAGTTCTTTTATTTCTGATAGAATCTAGAGTTAATAATAAAGCATGGCTCAGAACATGTTCTCAAGAGAAGTATAGATGTCTGATCATGAGATCATGAGGTCTTATGCTTTCTATATGATGATGTCTCATATTCTCATATTGATGCTTGATATTATCTGCATTTGTCCATTGTTTTTATGTAATTTAAGAATGAAATAATGGTAATGAAGTGTAATGCATAATTGCATATCATAATCTGCCTGTCTATTTCATAATGTTGGGGTTTTAATCTAAGTTTATTCATATCATTTCCTTAAAGTTGATCATGAACATCAAATAATACATCATCTTTTGTCAGACGTTTAGATGCTGTTTATATGTTTCATAATGAGTCTTATTGTGTCACCACCAGAAGTAATTTTAGTCTCCAACTTTTTTGTGTTTGGCAGTCGACGTCTGTAACTAATTCTCACAACTATTCATATTTTTCACTGTGAATTCTGCCAAAATCTGTTACCATGGCAACAAATAAGCGATAATTTAAGTGTTAAGTGCTTACATGGACCTGAATTTTGTTATGAATGTATGCGATTTGTAAAAACATAAACTGTGATTGGCATTAGTCTTCGTTTGTAAATCTTTTGTAATGATTTGCAAATACTCACCAGGTGATGCACATGTTGTCATGGTAATGCCTTGTTGCTACTTAACATAAATAACTTGTAAATATATATTATTTCAGGGAGATTATCCAATGTCAACAGCACAGAGTGAAATCTTACCTCCCCCTATCACTTGCCAGCCTAGTCAACCAAGCTCACAATCTTCAACAACAAGTAATTTGTCCCACACGCAACAGAGACAGGTGGGATTTCCTGATAGTTCTAGCATGAAGAATACATCAGTGTGAACTGAAATTAAATAGTATATAACTGCATATATCAGAAGTTGCTGAATATTAGTGGTTTGACGAAGCTAGGCTCATCTCCAAATGTTTATCTATATAAAAAGAATTTCATTTTTCATGGATCTGAAATCTCACAGTTGATTCACAATGATGCACTTGTTAACAAGATGGCCCAATGTCAAACTAAAGAACTACAGAACATTTGGTCAATAAACAAAATGACTACAGAACATTTGGTCAATTAACAAAATGACTACAGAACATTTGGTCAATAAACAAAATGACTACAGAACATTTGGTCAATAAACAAAATAACTACAGAACATTTGGTAAATGACTACAGAACATTTGGTCAATAAACAAAAGGACTACAGAACATTTGTTTAATAAACAAAAGGAGTACAGAAAACATCCGGCCAATTAACAAAAGGACTACATAACATTTGGTCAATTAACAAAAGGACTGCAGGACATTTTGGTCAATTAACAAAAGGACTACAAAACATTTGGTCAATAATTAAAAGGACTACAGAACATTTGGTCAATAAACAAAAGGACAACAGAACATTTTGTCAATTAACAAAAGGACTTCAGAACATTTTGTCAATTAACAAAAAGACTACAGAACATTTTGTCAATTAACAAAAGAACTACAGAACATTTTGTCAATTAACAAAAAGGACTACAGGACATTTGATCAATAAACAAAAGAATTGCTGAATGTTTGGTGAGGAACTTCGACAACCTGTATTTTCACTTGGGGTGATATTCAACAATAGTTGAATTAACAGAACCTCAAATTTCAATCATAACAAAGATCCATTACAAATGTGCTCTGAATCACAAATGATACTGATCCTATAAATCATGCTATACCTTGGTGATTTCTTTGAAAATCCCAATTGTTATGATCATAAGCTGAATCATGCATTTAAATGATACAAGTGATTCTGATCACAATTGTTATGATCATAAGCTGAATTATGCATATAAATGATACACGCGATTCTGATCACAATTGTTATGATCATAAGCTGAATTATGCATATAAATGATACACGCGATTCTGATCACAATTGTTATGATCATAAGCTGAATTATGCATATAAATGATACACGCGATTCTGATCACAATTGTTAGCAGAATGTACTTTTCAAAGATGCATTTGCTCTAATTAATATTTGTTAACAATGATTTCCACAGTTATCACGTGTTTACGATTTATCTAACATTTCAATGTTTCAGTGATTTTAATAAATGTGCATCTATTTATATCTTATTGTTAAAATCATCACAATTGTTAAGAGTGTGAGCAATATAAATATAATAAATATATCTTAATGATTCTTATCACATGTTCAAATTAAAATGATTCGCACAATCATAATGATCCTGAGCGATTTACATTTTTTAAGAATGTCTAAATCATTGCAGTTGGTTGCAATGGATGGATGATCATGAATCATCAGACATTTTGCTGATTCGTTGGTTGTGTTGCACAATCATTGCAAAATGAATTGTTATGTCTGAGGTTGATCAAAAATGAGTTTTTTACATGTAAAGCACAAGGCATTTGTTCACGTTTGCATTTTATTACAGTTTTATATTAGTCTGCAAATAATAAATATACTCATACGTCAAATAATAACATGGACTTACAGATATTAATGACTGATTATGTTTCCCAATTTGTCTCTCATTGATTATAATTATATTTCGAAAAAGGCTAACAATTGATTATCCAAAAAATGAAGATTGGTAGGGATATGTGAAACCACTTGTTAGTTTTCTAGTTATTAGCTCACATGGTGAGCTATTGCAATCGCTCACTTGTCCGTCTGTCTGTCCGTCCGTCCGTCCGTCTGTCCGTCCGTCTGTCCGTCCGTCAACAATAGTGGCACGTTTTAAAACCTCTGTCGATAGGATTCCTGTTTTAAGTTATTTCTGTTCAACATCAATACAGAAAACCCCCCTATGACTCCTGGTTCAAAAGCTCGCCTATTTTCAAAATGGCCGTCACTTTTGTCTCGCGAAATTCACTTTTAGCCCATTTCCTAGCTAACCTCTGTCGATAGGATTCCTGTTTTAAGTTATTTCTGTTCAACATCAATACAGAAAACCCCCCTATGACTCCTGGTTCAAAAGCTCGCCTATTTTCAAAATGGCCGTAACTTTTGTCTCGCGAAATTCACTTTTGGCTCATTTCCTAGCTTTACAAATAATTTCAGGTGTCCTACATTGTAAAAATCCATGTCAATGTAAAGACTAGATATATGAAATAATTTTGTTACAAAAAATCAGCGAAAAATTGTATCCATTTTTTTATTTTCAGCCATTTTAGTTAACATTGATTTGTCTATCTGACTCGCGAAATCCACTTTCTGTCAATAACAGTGGCACGTTTTAAAACCTCTGTCGATAGGATTCCTGTTTTAAGTTATTTCTGTTCAACATGAATTCAGAAAACTCCCCTATGACTCCTGGTTCAAAAGCTCGCCTATTTTCAAAATGGCCGCCATTTTTGTCTCGCGAAATTCACGTTTGACCCATTTCCTAGCTTTACAAATAATTTCAAGTGTCCTACATTGTAGAAGTCCATTGCAAAGTAAAGAGTAGATGTATGAAATAATTTTGTTACGAAAAATCAGCGAAAAATTATATCCATTTATTTATTTTCAGCCATTTTAGTTAACATAGATTTGTCCATCTGTCTCGCAAAATTCACTTTTGGACCATTTACCTTTAACCCTCTGTCGATAGGATTCCCATTTTAAGTTATTTTTGTTCAACATCAATACAAAAAACTCTCCTATGACTCTTGGTTCAAAAGCTCGGCTATTTTCAAAATGGCCGTCACTTTTGTCTCGCGAAATTCACTTTTGACCCATTTCCTAGCTTTACAAATAATTTCAGGTGTCCTACATTGTAAAAATCCATGTCAATGTAAAGGGTAGATATATGAAATAATTTTGTTACAAAAAATCAGCGAAAAATTGTATCCATTTTTTTATTTTCAGCCATTTTAGTTAACATTGATTTGTCTATCTGACTCGCGAAATCCACTTTCTGTGGCACGTTTTAAAACCTCTGTCGATAGGATTCCTGTTTTAAGTTATTTCTGTTCAACATGAATTCAGAAAACTCCCCTATGACTCCTGGTTCAAAAGCTCGCCTATTTTCAAAATGGCCGCCATTTTTGTCTCGCGAAACTCACTTTTGACCCATTTCCTAGCTTTACAAATAATTTCAAGTGTCCTACATTGTAAAAATCCATGTCAATGTAAAGAGTAGATGTATGAAATAATTTTGTTACGAAAAATCAGCAAAAAATTATATCCATTTATTTATTTTTAGCCATTTTAGTTAACATTGATTTGTCCATCTGTCTCGCAAAATCCACTTTTGGACCATTTACCTTAAACCCTCTGTCGATAGGATTCCCATTTTAAGTTAATTTTGTTCAACATCAATACAAAAAACTCTCCTATGACTCTTGGTTCAAAAGCTCGCCTATTTTCAAAATGGTTGCCATTCTTGTTTCGCGAAATTCACTTTTTGCCCATTACCTAGCTTTACAAATAATTTCAGCTGTCCTGCATTGTAAAAAGCCATGTCACTGTAAAAGGTAGTTGTATGAAATAATTTTTTTGTTACAAAAAATCAGCAAAATATTATATCCGTTTTTTTTATTTTCAGCCATTTTAGTTAACATTGATTTGTCTATCTGTCTCGCGAAATCCTCTTTTGGACCATTTGCTTAAAACCTCCGTCGATAGGATTCCAGTTTCAAGTTATTTTTGTTCAACATCAATACATAAAACTCCCCTATGACTCCTGGTTCAAAAGCTTGCCTGATTTCAAAATAGTCGCCATTTTTGTGTCTTGCATTGCAAAAAGCCATGTCACTGTAAAGAGTAGTTGTATGAAATAATTTTGTTACAAATTATTGTCAAAAAATTATATCCGTTTTTTTTTCAGCCATTTTAATTGACTGAGAGACAGATGGCTTGAAATAATTTTGTAACAAAAAATCAGCAAAAAATGTGACCATGTGAGCCCAGTACCCACGGTACTAATTTATTTTTCTTTTCATGCCCGTTCGTCTCTGGGCAAACACAGTAAATGTTCTTGAATTCTGTTGAAATGTTATATGCTGGTGCCTATTAGCATAAGATCTATGCCCAGGAGTGAATGTCAATATTGTTGCTTTATTCAAAATCGTCGACATGTTCTGTCAAAAATGATTTTCGATATCAAATACTAATTGTAGTATTTGCTTCAAACTCTATAGGCTGATGCATTGTGGACATATAGAACCTCCTTTTGGAAGAGTTTTCAATATGACCCAAATGGCCACCCTCGGACCTCTATACTGCAAGATGACCTCCATTTTTAATAAAATTTGTAATTTAGGGCTATATCTTGAAAGGGTCGCTAAGCAACTTGGGTCATTTATAAATAGCTGGTAAGTTGTTTTTTTTAGAATAGGAGTCGGTAAAATGCACCTTTCTTGCTTCATAACAACAATTATCTCAGTTACCCTGTGCTATATAAGTTATATAATTACTAAGTACTATAATTACTATTCTCATATTTTCATAGATGGCTATTTGAGTGTATCCCTACAAGACCAGATATTATACTTGTATAGTATGTCATTTTAATGCAATAATATAACGACTAGTAACATCACGATGACTGGATAGGCGGCGCAAAGAGTTTTACTATTATTGTTTTTCCAATGTAAATAATATCTGGTACGGTAATATATATTTTAAACAGCATGTGTGATTAAATCGTTCATTTTACAACACAAAATAATTTTTTTGTAGAATGAACAAAGGGCAATCTTCTACACGAGTGTTATTGATGATGTTTACTATAAACTCACTGTTTTACTGTTACAATGTTTATAACTATTTCCTGGTTTCATGTTATGTTATTCTGAAGTCAAATGTTACATAAGCTACCCTGCAACTTGATAGCAGAATAAAAAACAATGTTGAATCTATATAAAATTATTCCAATTTTTGCAATACATAAACGTGAGCGGCGATTCCTTTCTTAAAGGGTTCCGATTAG